ATTCGTTTTGGCCGCGACTTCTGCGTGAAATCAATCTCTTTGCGCCATCCCAGGCGGTCTTGACGCATGGTGCCTACGTGGTAATGGCCCATGGAAAGCAGCTTGTCTGACAACGGGATTGACGTGTAGTAATTATCCGTGCACACTAAGCGCTGTGCAGGTTGATCTCGCAATACTTTCACCAGGTTCTTCACAACGGCTCTCTGCGCAACATCCTTTTCGTCCTTGTTTGCCTTCCCACAGTAAATATCTAGCCTACAGCACAATATCCGTAACAATGTCGGTTCTTGTCGGGGTACAATCGGTCACATCCAGAACATATTACGGAGAAGAAGTTACAAGCAATTACCTTGAACAGTACGCTGTTTCAGCGCAGCAAGTCATGTAGAATTTGGTGCCGCACTTGTTGGGCTTTGCCGACATATACTGCCGCATGGGGTTTCGTCGGTGGCGCATCGGCACCATGCCCTCGTCAAATGATATCTTCGCGCCCAACCGATAGCCACGGAAGAAGGTTTCTGCAAGGCCTGCAGCAAGGGTCGAATCTTAAAAGCTCAGTCACCACTCTCTGCTTGCCGGGAGTTGTCATTGAAGTGCAAGTACCGTGTGATATCTTGGAATCAGTCACGACTAAGGAACTGTCCAAACGTCCCTCGCGATAAAGCACCTTCAACTTTGGTTATCCAGTGGCGGCTCAAACTTTCTCGCCGTGCCTCCAGCGACCGAGCTACCAGCAAGCCGATATATCTGACGAGCTCGTGGGGTAGGACAGGATGCTTGCGGCGAAGCTTAGCCCTGTACTCTTCGACGGTGAGCATCAGCGTTGATGGCTCGGTTTGGCGACGTTTTAGCGCGCGTGCACGCGCAGTCACTGCATCATCGTCAATGCAAGCTATACGGTACGTGTTTGTCTCTTCCGCGATCCTGCGCCAGAGCTCCTTCGGCAAAAAGAAGTAAAACATTGCCAAAGGGCTGTCAGCAAAAGCAAACGCAGCTTTCGTCGGCCCGTACGGGCCATCGTAAAGAGGAGCTGCATCCACCTGAAGTTCACTTGAATGATGTTCATCGTATGTCTTCCACTCCTCCAACTGCAGTCTGTCGAGCTCTGGCTTGCGTAAGGCGAACTCCACTGGGTCTTCCTCGTCATCATCATCCAGCGGAGATGCCGTCAACTCATCATCGCTTGAGTCACTAGAATCTTTATCAACTAGTATAGTGTCTTCGTCGCCCTCGGCCTCCGAATCCAGTTCGAGCAATCAGTCATCTCCACCAACATTCAAGTCATCACTGTCAAGTGGTTCAAATAGCCGGTCTCGACGCAATGCGGTCAGAAAGTCCCCCGAGTCGAAGTCGTCAAGCGTAACAAAGCGTGAATCACGAGCACGGGCCGCCTCTCGCTGGAATTCCTCCGGAATATCATCTTCAGCACTCTCCACAACATCTTCCATCACATCCGGAACTGCAAATTGACCACTATCCGTAACACGGACAGC